TATATGCCAAATTTTTTAAATGGTAGACTTTAACTGCAGTTTGGCTCTTTCATTCAGGGAATTCATTCATGTCCCTCACCACAAACGAGATATTTGATTTGAGGATCTGCTCTAAGCGTTTATTTTCATGCAATGTTTGATACCGCACGGCGAATGAGAGAAAAAAAAAACTCAGCATTTCCCGGAAACTTAGATGCACTCGGCAGGTAACGTCAGAAAGCCGCGTGTGTTATTCAGGTCACAAAATCCTACACGAGGTTATAGTTTGGTTGTAGTGCTAACTTGTTTACACTCGGTGCAATAGTTTGTTCGATACGAATAAAATACGAACTGAATAAACAAAGAGCACTGGTCGCTCACTTACCAAATCTGTAGAGACAGGACAATCACCAGCAACTAGAGCCGCGTCTTTATTAAGAGGAGACTACAAGCGAATCCAGATCTCAGCGTTTGCAGATGAGAACAGCTCTCAGGTAAACAATAATCCTCCTTAGACACGTAAGTTATTGTTGTCGAGCGTCGCGTACACTGTTAATCCACACGTGACTCTAGCTCCGCTCTCACAGAGAGAAAATGAAAACAAAACTTAACTGCAGCAAACTATAAAAGCAACACTTCACGCTTGTTTTGCCAACACAACGTGGCGTCTCTGTCGTCTAAACACTATGACAGTAATGAATATTAATGAAGTTGCACAATAGAGTGTGCTGATTGGTTTGAACCAAGCCTTACTCATGCATTAATGCAGCACACTGTAAGACGTAATAAGACACACTCTGGTACAGACGTCCAGTCTGCACGCTGAAATACACGCTATTATGTCATGACCATGACACAGCTTCAAAAATTCGTTTCAAACCGGAAGTACGAATTTGCTTGAAATAACGCAAAAACAACCAATTTACACTTTTTTGTGAAATAAAAAAAGTGTATATGTGGGACACATATACGACTGTCAACAGCTCAAAAAATGTGTTTTGGTGTTTCGTGACCCTTTAAGCTATATATATTTTTGATCTACAGAACAAACCATCGTTATACAATAACTTGCCTAATTACCCTAACCTGCCTAATTAACCTAGTTTAGCCTTTAAATGTCACTTTAAGCTGTATAGAAGTGTCTTGAAAAATATCTAGTCAAATATAATTTACTGTCATCATGACAAAGATAACATAAATCAGTTATTAGAGATGAGTTATTAAAACGATTATGTTTAGAGTTATGTGTTGAAAAAAAAATCTCTCCGTTACACAGAAATTGAGAAAAAAATAAAATAAACAGGGTGGTGAATAACTCTGACTTAAACTTTGTATACAGCATATATATTATCATATATGTGCATATATCCTCATATAGGTTTTTTCCTTGTGGAAAGTTCAGTTCCAATACTCAGGACTGCAAGAACAGAGGATGCATGACATGATATGACATGGACATTGAATTTTATATTCACTATTATTTACAGTTGAGATATAAGTTATTTATCTCAGGATTTTCCCAATAAAAGTTTTAATAAAGGCATAAACACATGAAAAGGTGATTATTTGCTGAAATGTATCATTTAATTTATTTTATTTGTATTATGCAAAATATATTTGTAAGGCTTTTGTACGTTTTCTCACAGTCTTCAGAGTTCCTTCTAACTAAGGTAACTTGACAAGGCCGTTCTCCAAAAGAACGCGAGTCCATTCTCTGCATTTTTTGTATTGAGAAACAGCCCTAGAACCTAATAAGTGTGAGTAGGAGCTAAGCTGTGCAGAGTGTTGTGTCTGGTTGCTTTAATGACATTAATTGTAAAAGACACAAAACTTCACGTGCATATTCGGATGTTCCTATGCTTGCAAAAACAGCTATTAGCGATGTGAGAAGAAGTGTAAGAGACCAGGCAGGCATCTCAGAGTTTGAAGAGTATGATGTGTTGAAATGGGTCAGCCATCTGCTGGCGCTAAAGGAGGATATGGTCTCTTTTTTACACTTTTGACAAACTGCTACAATTGCAATCTGGAAGAAGCATGAAGAAATCCTTTGCCAGCTAAAAAAATGGCCTTAAAGGACATCCCTGATGAACTGCACAAATGTTGATTAACATGTTTTACTACTAGCTGTTGATAGAGATATACCCAAGCATATCAATAAAGATTGTGCAACGTATAACATTAAAGGCACACCTGTATTAAAGGCTTGATTACTGTATAAAATGCTGGGACATATAATCCAGCAGCACACTTAAACAGACTTCTGTATAGTGTAAGTCTTAAGCTCTTTATTCTCAGTGGAGATTTTGTTGTTTTGTTCTTCTTTTTCCTTGATTTTATTTTATTAATAAAAGTGCATTTGTATTCATTTTCTTCCTGGAGTGATGTCGGCTTCATTGGCAGAACTCAATATGCCTTCTGGTAAGGTATGAATCTATTTGGCCCATTAGAGGTGTCTACTGGTGAATGATGGTTCACTGCACGTTCAGCCTTTTCAGTGCACAATGTTGAAGTAGTTTAAATTTAACTCATATTTGATCCCAATTTTAATATTAGATGGTTTAGAGCAGTGGTTCTCAAACTTTTTTTTGTCAAGTACCACCTCAGAAAAAAATTGTCTCTCTAAGTACCACCAAAAATTAGCAGTATTGAAATACAGTACCGTAGTAGGCCCAGTAAAGCAGCTACAACTCTGCACAGTTAAAAAAACGTTGCAGATTACCTCAGAAATATAGGCTATATGTCATAAACGGCATATTATATTCATCATTTTTGATAAATTTTCAAATGTGTGTAGCATGTACATGACATATTTCATTCCTCCGCGTACCACTAGAAGGAAGCCTGCGTACCACTAGTGGTACACGTACCACAGTTTGAGAACCACTGGTTTAGAATATTAATATATTTATTTTTGTTTTATCTGACTCCAATCATAAAACATTACGAAGATTATTTCAATTTCATTTAGATGAATGCTGGAACCTTTTGTCTTTACTCATAACTATGCATTCGTTCATTCGGTTGCTCACGTCATGCAGAGGAATCGCCTTGGCCAGTGGCGTACCTCACTGTCACACTATCATCATCCTTGATTATTAAACAGGTAATTGACTACTTTTAGACGGCCGCTCCTGCTTGCTCATTCTAAAGTATTTTTGATTAGTCCCCTTAGATGTACACCCTTGAGTTAAAGGTAATCTTATTTCTAATCATAGGTTATGGCCATTCTTATAAATATAACTGACTACTATTCTCTATAATCATTTTGGCTCAGCTACTGTCATGGATTCTCATGTACACTTCATTTAGAACAACATTACTTTCAAATGCTCAGGCACCCTAGGCTCTTCGTTCAACACCCTGTTGCCCTAGATGGAAATAACTCCAACTACAAGTACACTTGAATCAATATCAAAAGTAAGTTGGATCCTTAAAATACAGTTAGTGTGCCCCAGTGCTCCATCTCAACTGGGCTTTAGTCCACCAGTCGGGGCTTGATGGCAGAGGGGCCCAACAGAAGCCTCTTCTCAGTGCAAGACACATGAAAAAACACCTGAATGACTCAAGATGGTGAGAAATAAGATTCTCTGGTCTGAAGATACCTTCTGGCCTTCTCAAAACCAGGCACTGCTCATCACCTGTCCAAAACAATCCCAACAGTGAAGCACTGAGGTGGCAGCATCATGCTGTGAGGGTGTTTTCCAGCGGCAGGGAAAGGACAACTGGTTGCAATTGAGGGAAAGATAAATGGGGCCGAGTACAGTGATATCCTGAATGAAAACCTTCTCCAGAGTACTCAGGACCTCAGACTGGGCTAAAAGTTTGCCTAAAATAACAAAAGAGTGGCTTTACAACAACTTAGTGGCTGTTCTTGAACGGCCCAACCAGAGCCCAATTGAGCATCTCTGGAGAGACCTAAAAATTACTGTTCACCAACCTGACGGAACTGGAGAGGATCCCCAAATCCAGGTGTGAAAAACTTGTATCTTTCCCAAAAAGACTCATGACTGTGTCCAAAAAGTGCTTCAGCTAAATACTGAGCAAAGGGTCTGAATACTTATACCCATGTGCTATTTTAGTTTTTCTTTTCTAAACACAATGCCAACAATTCTGTGTTTTCTGTCAATATGAGGTGCTGTGTGTACATTGAGGAAAAAAATAACATGGTTTTAGCAAATAGCTGCAATATAGCAAAGAGTGAAAAATTAAGGGGGTCTGAATACTTCCTGTACCCCATATATGTGTGGCACGGTTGAGAGCGGCATGGTGGCTCAATGGTTAGCACTGTCGCATCACAACAAGAAGGTCGCTGGTTCGAGTCCTGGCTGGGTGAGTTGGCATTTCTGTGTGGAGTTTGTATGTTCTCTACATGTTTGTGTGTGTGCGTGGATGTTTACCAGTACTGTTGCAGCAGAAAGGGCATCCACTGCATAAAACATAAGCTGGAAGAATTGGCGGTTCATTCCACTAAATATTTATACCTATATGCAGAAAAGAGAAGCAATCTTCAGAAATGTAACAGATTTTAGCTTGAAATGTCTGTTTTTCTTTACGAGCCATGGTGGCTGTATTTATGTAATCTAATTTTTCAGAGTACCACAATTGTCACTCGAAAGATCGTTAATGTAAACTAATAAAAATAACTTTAAGACCAAATTGTATAAAATGTCATTTTAATAACCAAATCGGATCCAGCATTTGTGTTTCTTCTTTCCTTTATTTTATCACTGAAGGATGTTGAACTTTATTCTCCTGTGTCCTGTTGCTCATGCAGTAGAGAATAGCACTAATGTACAATTATATTTACTTAAGTCTGAGGCTTTTCACTTTACTTTTTGTCTGAAAGGCTCAAACATTCAGCTGCATAAAACAGTCGAGTAAAACGAAAAACGAAGTAACTTACTTTTCTGACCAGACTTTTTTTTTACCAAGACTGATTCACATCCAATCAGCATTCCCCGAGTCACAGACAGCCAATCAGCATTCGCTGAGCCACAGGCAGCCAATCAGCATTCGCTGGTCGGCGTGCAGGCAAATGTTTATTATATGAGTTGGAGAGTGAATTAGCGCACTGGAGTTGCCGACGGATGCCAAACTTTACCTTTGCTACTGTATGTTGTTCTTCTATATAAAGTAAGTTAAATGTATTAAATCTGACCTTTGTAAGGTTTGCGAGTGTGTGAATGTGATTGAGTGCGAATGCTATATCTTGCGGGTTGATCTGTTTTGTTGATCATTGCTAACATTGATAACTTGCATAACGTTAGCATTATTAGGTAAATATTTAAGCGATATTTATAGTTTCTTATACTAATGTCACGAATGTACTTTTTATTTGTATTTCTATATAATGTATTTAGGAAGTGATTTCAGAGATATGCTGAAGAAAACTGTTTAAAATGAATAATTCAACCAAAGATGAAGATTTACTCGTCGTTTACTTTTCCGCAAGTGCTTTATTCTAAACATTTATGAGTTTCTTTACTCATTATCTTATCTTATCTTCTGCTAAAGAAGATAGTTTGAGAAAAGCTGAAACCAAAATATCTTCCTTTGTGTTCAACAGAGTAAAGAAACCCTGATAAGTTTTGAAGAAGTGAATGTTGAGTAAAGACATTTTTCAGTTTTTTTAATGCAAATAGTCCAGAAAATGTCCAGATAAATCACAGCTTATATAATGTTTTGACAGGTTAAGCTGATGTGTAATTAATAGTGGTTCAATAGTTCACAAATCTCACGGTTCAGATCACATTATGGTTTTGACCATTTCAGACCATTTTTCAGATCAGCCAAAAAGAGGAAGGAGACGCATGTAATTTGCTTTCCATTTATTACCAAAACATTACTGCAAGAAACATTTGGTTTTATTAAACATGAATTATAACCTGTACATGCTAAATTAAAATAAATATTTAATGCTGTGAAAAATGATAATCTTTTCTGTTGCTGATGTTGATGCTATATGAATAAATCTGACATTTTAATTTATACAACATTGTACAGATATATGATTGAACCAACATGTAAAAAAAAAAAAAAAAAAAAAAAAATATATATATATATATATATATATATATATATATATATATATATATATATATATATATATATATATATATATATATAAAAAAATCTGAAGGTCACGTGCGTATGGATCACAGATCAATGTATTTGTCCAGTTTAGCATAGTGTTTCCACTTAATGGGTCCAGTATAAACTTCATGCATTGACAGGTGTTTAGAGTCATGTTACACTTTTCATGTTATTCTCGGAGGCTCTGTCCCTTCTCTATTTTTCAGGCTTCTCAGGAGCATACCATAAATGTCCACATACCATGGCTGTATTTTCACATAGCCCTGTTCACTCTGCTTTGCTTTGCTCCATGGCTGTAGTCTTGCTCAGTTCTCTCTAAGACATAATCGTAAACTACACATCTAATTATGTATTTATGGTTATACAGGTTTACGTGTTTACAGCACACTTTTAGAGAATAAAAAATCTAACTCTAACCCTTTTCCAGTTAGCTCCTTACCTTTTAAAGACATCCATGATGGTAAATAGGACTATATTCACCTGATTATACACGTTTACTAATAACTAATGTTTATTGCGATTAATTAATTATTTGGGTCATTTTATTTCTTTTTTATTAATCTGATAAAAACAAAAACACTTTTTTTTGCTTACAGTTTTTTTTTTTACGATTGCTTAAGCACAATTTCAAAATGAAGGCTCATTTTGTCAAAACACTACACATAAATTCCACGTTCACACACAAACAGCAGAACACCAGTCCTTTTTGTTTGTTTAAATTCAGATTACATAACTTGTTTGTAATAATTTGCAATGAACCATTTTTTCCAGTTGTGAGTTGAAAAAGAGACAAACCAGGAGAAATTTTGAGCAGTTCAGGAAGTTCAAGGAATTTTGGCTGGGTAGACCCAGAATAAAATAGTCTTCATTGCATAATAGATGTTATCAGGTAATGCAGCCCTGATCCTTAATACCTGTTATAAACGTGATATTGATTTTGACAGAGAGATTTGTAAAAATGTGTCAAAATGAAGGTTTGTTTTGTCACTGTCTCCAATGTCTTTTCACTTCAGTTTGCTCAGATTTTTATGATTGACTAAAAGCTTTTTTTTTCCAATTTGATTTCAGACTTTACTGAAGAGAATGAGAAGATTGAAGATGATCTGGTAAAGTACATTATTTACCAACTGAATGTATTTACCTTATGAAAAAATAGAAAGAGGAATTGTTTTATGCGCACTCTATGTGGAAAATGTTTGGTATGGAAAAGTCTTGAGATTCACACGAGGATCCAAACTGGAGAGAAACCGTACACATACTCAGTGTGGGAAGAGTTTTGGATCCTCAGATCCACAGTGGAGAGAAAACACACACACGTGATCAATGTGGCAAAACATTTTTGAGGGCTTTACAGCTGAAGACACATCTTAGGGCTCATACAAAAGAGAAGCCTCTTTCATGTTCTGTGTGTGAAATAAGTTTTGAAATGCAGTCAAGTTTAGTAAAACATAAGAAGATCCACAGTGGTGAGAAAAAGTATATGTGCTTGGATTGTGAGAAGACTTTTACTAGAGCTGATCATTTGAAAAGGCACCAGACTGTGCACACCAGAGAGAAACCTTACCAGTGTTCACACTGCGACAAGAGATTCTGTCAGTTATCAATTCTGAAAAGACATGAGAGCATTCACACTGGAGAGAAACCTTACAAGTGTTCACACTGCGACAAGAGATTCTGTTATGTAAGATGCCTGGAAACACATGAGAGGATTCACACTAGAGAGAAACCTTACAAGTGTTCACACTGCGACAAGAGATTCAGTCAGTTATCAATTCTGAAAAGACATGAGAGGATTCACACCGGAGAGAAACCTTACAAGTGTTCACACTGCGACAAGAGATTCAGTCATTTATCAGTCCTGAAAATACATGAGAGGATTCACACTGGAGAGAAACCGTTCAATTGTTCACACTGTGACAAGAGATTCAGTCAGTTATCAACTCTGAAAGTACATGAGAGGATTCACACTGGAGAGAAGCCCTACAAGTGTTCACACTGCGACAAGAGATTCAATCGGCTAGGAAACTTGAATTTACATAAGAGGATTCACACTGGAGAGAAACCATACACATGTACTCAGTGTGGGAAGAATTTCAGAGGATTATCAAGTCTTAATCAACACATGAAGCTCCACAGTGGAGAGAAAACACACAAATGTGATCAATGCGGTAAACCATTTTTGACAGCTACAGATCTGAAGGTCCATCAGAGGATTCACACTGGAGAGAAACCGTACACATGTACTCAGTGTGGAAAGAGCTTCACACAATCATCATCCCTTACTCAACACATGATTATTCACACTGGAGAGAAACCGTACACATGTGCTAAGTGTGGGAGGAGTTTCGGATACTCATCAAGCCTTCATCAGCACATGTTGATCCACACTGGAAAGAAAACACACAAATGTGATCAATGCGGTAAAACATTTTTGAAAGCTGCAAATCTGAAGGCTCATCTTAGAGTTCATACGAAGGAGAAGCCTTATTCATGTTCTGTGTGTGGAAAGAGTTTTTCAAGGCAGTCATATTTAAGAGTACATCAGAAGATTCACACTGGTGTGAAAGAGTATATGTGCTTTGAGTGTGAGAAGACTTTTATTAGTGCTCAACATTTGAAACTGCACCAGAGGATTCACACTGGAGAGAAACCTTACAAGTGTTCACACTGCGACAAGAGATTCAGTCAGTTAGGAAATCTTAAAAAACATGAGCGGATTCACACTGGAGAGAAACCGTACACATGTACTCAGTGTGGGAAGAATTTCAGAGGGTCATCAAGTTTTAATAAACACATTTTGATCCACACTGGAGAAAAATCACACAAATGTGATCAATGCAGCAAAACATTTTTAAGAGCCACATATCTGAAGATCCATCTTAGAGCTCATACAAAGGAGAAGCCTTATTCATGTTCTGTGTGTGGAAAAAGTTTTTCAACACAGTTAAGTTTAAGAAAACATCAGAAGATTCACACTGGAGAGAAACCTTTCAAGTGTTCACACTGTGACAAGAGATTCAATCAGCTACATATCCGGAAAAAAAACATGAGAGGATTCACACGAGAGAAACCGTGATCAGCATCTAAAGAGTTACACTCATTTGTTGCAGTTGATAGGACTCATGAAACTGGACAAAAGCAGAATGTTTGGTGTTAATGTAGCGAGGGGCAGGGGGTCTATCCGTTTATATTGAGTGTTTGATTCATTTATCAATAGTTTCTTTTATTTGATGTTGAACTTGTTCCATGACTACTGAATTTACCTAATTGGTTGAAAAAACAAATGTATATGTTTTGCATTTTAGCAGAGCAACTTTTTTTATATCACATGTTTTCATGTATTAATGGAGTGGTAGAGTACGGTACGGGTCGGTATGGGTCACCTTTGTCAGGCTTGCATTTCCACTGCATAAAAGTACCAATGGTATCCTTTCGGTGGGTGTAGTGTAGGACAAAGTTTCAGTCAATGTCATTCTCGTTTGAGGAAATGTCAAAGTATAGCTGTACGGGTCGTTCACATATCATGTGAGAAGCACTTCTTACAAAACAGACGCTTCATACACATAGATACTCGTGTATAAATGTTCACTACTATGAACAGGATTCGATTATAACTGCAGATCAATGATGCGAAATAGCCTACTCTAACGTCTGCGATTATATAAAATAAATAAATAAATGTAATGTGTATATAAACACATACAGACCCTCAAGCTGCGTTCACACCAGACGCGGAACGCTCGTCAAGCGCGAGTGATTTACATGTTAAGTCAATGCAAACACGTGAATAATAAATTTCATGCGCAAATGAATCTGATTTGATGCGCAAATGAAACAAGTTACCTCAAATGTTCACGCGGCTATTTACGCTCGAATATCGCGATTTTATCCGCGCGTTCTGCGTCTGGTGTGAACACAGCATTACAGTCTTTGATATGTAACCATTTACAGAAGAACTACACATAGTAGAGATGCGCGGTTGGCGGTTATAGCCGCGAACTCCGCGGATGACGTTACGAAGAAATTATATTTTAATTAAATTCGGGCGGGTGGTGGGCGGTTGTACTGTTTTTATAGGCATAGCTGGCACACCAACGAAAAAGCCTAGCTGACTTCACAGAATGGGAGGAGGAATCGGATACACTAATTCTGGATGAAGTACAGAAGTATTCCTCTACAAACTTCCGTATAGATGGATCAGCAGAGGAAAATCTACTTTCCTTTTGGGAGAAATAAGGCCAGTCATTCCCACGACTACAGCACCTTTCCAAGAGAATTCTATGCATTTCAGCAACAAGTGCTGCGAGCGAGCGCTCCTTCAGTGCAGCAGGGCGCATTATAGTGGCTATGCAGTCGCTCCCGTCTGAATCCTGACACTGTAGATGCTATTTTATTCCTGCATTGTGCCAAGAAAAAATCAAACTAGACCTAAGGTCAGGCATATTAAACCAATTAGCCTATGTTATTTAGGCTACACATATGTTAAATATAAACTTTTGAGTTCAGTCAGCTGATAATTTTACGTTCATATTGGTTTAGCCTATTCTATTCTAGACATGTTGGCCTCGCTTTTACGTTCTGAGGCTAAGGTTATTTTGCCAGAATTTCTTTGTCACAACTGTAATGGCGTAGTATTTCGTTATGCTTCAAGTTTGAGGGGAATGGGGATGATCCTAAGTCCATGGGTTATTGGGGCAGTTGTCATACATGCATTTTAGCCTGGTCAGACTTTATGTTCGCTCAAAGAGGGATGGAATATCTATTTTTCTAATTTAATTTATAATTGTGGGAGTGACTGAGCCTACAAGGCTAAGGCACGATATGACGTTTTTATTAAAAAAATTTTCAACTGTTTGCCAAAGCATGCGATATATAGCGATAGCCTATGCCTACATTAAGATATTTATGTTAAGATTTTTTTACTGCCTGTTGTTTCTTTTGGCATATAAAATAGGCATTGTCTAATAGGGATATCAGTAAAGGTTCATCTGTGTCGCAGAACTGGTGTTACTTCCGATTTCTACAAGCTCAATAACATCCACAGCAAAAAATAAAAAATAAATAAATAAATAAATAGTCGAAAAACTGTGCCCATTAATTAGATGTGCAAGGCAAGCAGTTACGTTTTTGGGGTTGCTATGGACAACTACAAATGTAAACATTATTAGGCTATAATGTAAATGACTTATTATTCTATCTATTTACTAAAAAATAAAGTGAAATAGGCATTTAGTAGTAGGCTAAATAGCAGCATGTTGAAATGATGTGTCAATGCGTTTTCTATTAGGCTACAATAAAAAAGTTGTATAGTAGCTACAGTGCGTTTAATTTAGGCTATTTATTTATTTTTGTCCCTGTGCGCCGATTGGAGACGGAGTTCACTGCTGATATTCTGAGAGCTCGGGTGCTTCTCATTTCTTATTTGTGCATCCTCGTTTCCTTTCCTTGCTTTCTTTCCTCGTACTTCCACCCCACGTTCGAGGGAAGGACGCAAGGAAAAGACTCAAGGACCGAGGAATCGAATCAAGTGAAAAGACACATCCTCGTATCTTTAGCGTCACTTCAAAGCGTCGTCAATTAATGACTTGCACGTTTGGATTAACTGCATGTCTACATTAAAGTCATTCTCTATTCTATAATGATCAATAAAGAAACATTTATTTAATAATAAAAAGGAATAAGCCATTCAAATAAAGAGCCCAATCAGCAGATGGCGAGCGGGTGCGGTTTTAAAAATTGGTCAAAAATGTTACTGTGGATGGATGGCGGACGGATGATGATTTTTGTCATGCGGTTGCGGATGAAATAATAGCCCATCCGCGCATCTCTAACACACAGCATACATTAAGTCCTTATTTGGGTTCAAAAACAGCATGCAACATATAGCCCACAGTCAGATGCAAATGTAACCTCTGTTAGAAAGTATTTTCGTTATTATGAGTTCATAATAGTCCAAAAGGTGATAATAATAGTACACCATGGCAGTTTGTTCATGAAAACAAAAAAGTGGTATGGTACGGTTCGATTTTGGTACCTTTTGACAGTTGAAATGTCCATAAAAGCCTACCATACCATACTGTACCACTCAGTGGAAACCCATAAGGTTGTTGCCAAAATGAATGAATAAATCTTGGCTTCAGTGGCAGATGTAAACCTATGCAATGGAGGCAATCGCCTAGAGTGGTATCTTGAAGTGGCGGCACGGTTAGTCAAAGCCATTGAAAGGAAAGGTTTTCACACTGACACCTGTCATTGTAAAATAGTCAGGAAACCGGTCAGTATCTGGTGTGACCACCATTTTCCTCACGTAGTGCCACACATCTCCTTCACATGGAGGTCATCAGGTTATTAATTGTGCCATGTCGAGTGTTGGTACATTTCTTTTTGATAGCTGTGCGAAGTTGCTGGATATTCGCACAACAATAAGCCTTAGGATCGCAATGCGGTTTCTCTGTGCATTTGAAATACCATCAATAACCCGTGTCCATAACATAGGCTTGCCATGCCATAATCCCACCACCACCACCATGGGCCACTCGATTCACAACACTGACATCAGCAATCCACTCACCCACACGACGCCGTACACACTGTCACACAGTGAAAACCATGATTCATCCATGAAGAGAACATCTCTCTAAAGTGCCAAACACCATCAGATGGGATCATTTGCCATTTCAAGTTGGTTATAATGATGATCTGCAGTCAGTTTGAGACTCAATGAGGATGATGAGCATGCAGATGAGCTTTCCTGAGATGATGTCTGATAGTTTGTGCAGAAATGACTTGTTCTGCAAACTGATGCACAGGTGGCTGGCCTCAGACGATCTTGTGGGTGAAGATGAGGGTTCTGGAGGTTCTAGGCTGGTGTGGTTACACGGGATCTGCAGTTGTGATGCTGCGGTTGTGCATTATAATCAGCAGTTCAAAATAGCCACATTACAGCTGTGTTAAAGTCAGCTCTGTATTTTATAAGTTATGTACTCTATTTAATAAAACAATTACTACTTTAAAAAGTCGTTCTAGGCCTTAACTAAGAAATGACCATCACCTAAGATTAATAAATGCTTTTGTAGTTGTCATTACATTGACATTAGTTTAATTAACCAATCTAAATTAATAAAACCTCACTGTATGCAGTTAATGAACAAAAAGCCAATAAATAGTCTGTGGATTGTTATTGTCGTAGGGCAGATTAGCATGTGAATACATTATTATTTGGAAATAAATCGCCTATTAATCTTGAAACATTTGGTGCTGTGATGAACAACCACTGAAATTCAATAACCTGAATATTCTTTAAAGGCCCTCTACTAGTTGAAATATTCCCAAACACACTATTTTGAAGTGCCCACGATATCAATATTGTACATGTTCATTATCACCATATTAAATTATTGAATACCAGCATATGTTCAGTGGCCAAATAAGCTCTGCCTTCACCTTATTTCTACCAATGTTGAGACCCCAGATATGTTCAAGAAGGTAGAAAACAGCATCTGAGTATGGGGCACTCCAGGATGTAAGACAGCAACAACCAGATATTGCCATGTTGACCATGGTACTGTCCCTTTGACCTGCTGCCTGGTGCTACCCGACCTAAAGGGAAAATCTACCCCTTGTCCATCCCAGAACAGTAAGCCATGGATGAGTTTTCACATGAGGTTTTTCTCCAAGGTTTACGCCAACCATAAAAATCAAGCACTTTCCATTTGTTGCTGTGACATTGAGTCTCCAATAGAGGACGCTATTTTACAACAAAATGAAAATCCCCTTGGATAAGTGAATGTTTCCCAACCCTGTTCCTGAAGGGACACCAGCAGTACACATTTTCATCCTCTTCCTAATCAAACACGTCTGAATGAACTCATCAGAACATCAGAAGAGACTCCAAAACTTGAAATGAATGGGTCGGATAAGGGAGATATCCAAATTGTGTACTGTTGGTGGGCCTCCAGGAACAAGCTTTGGAAACAAGTAGCCCATGCATTGGTAATAATAAATGATTTGACATTGTGCCATTATTTTATCAAGATTAAAGGTGTTTTGATGAGTGGCATTTTGAAATTAAATGTACTTTTATTGTGGACTATAAGATTTTTTTATTCATCAGAACATTTCTGAAAGGTTTACAGATCAATATAATGTTTACAAGTACACTTCATATATTGTGACCTTGGCTGAGAATAATGCACAACATCATTTTTAAGTTCACCCTTTATGATGAAGTTATTTTAATACTGTTTTTAAATACTCTTTTAATTTCAATACTCTTGATGGCTGATTTTATGT